CCCAACCCAACCTGTCCTAGAACATCTTGAGATGGGGCAGCCACAGATGGATCTGTGGATGGTTCATCACCATCTAAGAGGCTGGCCCTAGCAGGGACAAAGGTCCCAGGTACCGCTAAGTGCCTGCCAAGCACTATTTCTGCTGCTGACAACCATAGAGGTTGGTGAGTGGCATTTCTGATATCCCATAGCACTATTCCTAAAACTTCAGGCCATTTCATACGTACCTTCTACCGTTGGGTCCCCCTGAGCTGGAGGCAGCACTGCAGGGGGGTCTCCCCAGAGCAGAGCGCAGCAGAGGGGCACAATCTCCCCCTCGCCCTACTGGTCACGCGGCTGGGGATGCAGCCCGGGATGCCGGGGGCTCGCTGGGCTGCCAGCGCACATTGCTGGCTCGTGTTGATAATAAGATAATAAAAAGAAAAGATAATAAAGTTAATAACAAAATAACTAAATATATGCAATACATACAACCCATATGGAGCTCCCAGGATGGTGATTGTGTCACCGGCAGGCACTGGGGAAGTCCCAGACTGGACTCAGTGGCAGATAGGACCTGGATTCAGATCTGGATTCAGGAACGCACGGATTGGGATCAAATGCTGATGAACAGACAGAGTCCTCCTCAGACACCGGCCACTGAAGGAAGAGCACTGACCCTTTGATCCCTCAGCTTTTACACTGAGCACAAGGCAGATGGGATGGAATACCCCATTGGTCAGTTCTGGGTCACCCGTCCTGTCCACTCCTCCCCACATGTGGGACCCCTCTATGCTTTCCTGCTGCTAACCCTCCAACAGGGTGAGTAACAAAGTTCGCTGGCCTTGGCTGTCATAAAAAGTATAAACAAGAGCCTCTCTCCATACCATTTCTTGCTATTCACTATAAACGTCAGGCGTTATCTGCTAGAAGTGGACACTGGAAAATATGCAGCTAATTTCAGAGTGCAGTTAGAAGAGACTTAACTGAAAAGTAAAATTACTGAACAGAAAATTGGTTCTGTTTTCCCTCAAACCAACACATTCCACCCCTCCACAGGGCGAGGGGGAGATTGTGCCCCTCTGCTGCGCTCTGCTCTGGGGAGACCCCCCTGCAGTGCTGCCTCCAGCTCGGGGGGTCCCGACAGCAGAAGGACACGGAGCTGTTGGAGCGGGGCCAGAGGAGGGCACGGAGATGCTGGGAGGGCTGGAGCCCCTCTGCTGGGAGGACAGGCTGTGAGAGTTGGGGGTGTTCAGCCTGGAGAAGAGAAGGCGAAAAAGGGGAGACCTCAGAGCCCCTTCCAGTGCCTAAAGGGGCTCCAGGAGAGCTGGGGAGGGACTCTGCATCAGGGAGGGGAGCAATGGGACGAGGGGGAATGGTTTTAAACTGGAAGAGGGGAGATTTAGATTAGATATTAGGAAGGCGTTACGAAGGAAGATGTTAGAACATTTACTGTGAGGGTGGTAAGGCACTGGCATCCCTGAAGGTGTTCAAGGCCAGGTTGGACGGGGCTTGGAGCAACCTGTGCTGGTGGGAGGTGTCCCTGCCCAGGGCAGGGGGTTGGAACAAGATGAGCTTTAAGGTCCCTTCCAATCAGTCTATGATTCTATGTTCTGCAGTGCTCAGGACAGGTGGAAGGAATGAACAGGACTCTCAAAAATAAAACTGCTCGAACTTGTAGTCAGGTATGTTTGAAATGGCCTGAATTTTAGGAATAGTGCTATGGGATATCAGAAATACCACTCGCCAGACTCTAGGGTTGTTAGCAGCAGAAATAGTGCTTGGCAGGCACTTAGCAGTACCTGGGACATTTGTCCCTGCTAGGGCCAGACTCTTAGATTGTGATGAACAAGTTACCAAATATGTATTGGGGATACAAAAACATCTACAAGAAAATAGGGCACAAGCCAGATGGATTCAACTGGTACCAGCTGGAATGCAATTACATGATAGGTAGTCTTGAGATGCAGTAATGATAAAAGTCCACTCTCACAAAAGAAAGTTGGACCCTAAATTGGAGGGTCCGTATACTGTGTATATGTAAGCAACTTCTTACTTTCCTGTAAAGGTTGCAGAGAAGGATAACTGGATTCACCACTCTCATGTTAAACAACTGCCAAAAGAACATCAGTTAGATGGACCACTCTCAACCCCACGGGACTGCGTCAATCCTACCTTGGAGATTGACACTGGGACCATTTGAGCTTACAAATGCTAAAGGAACCCCAGCACCACGTTGGTTGTTTTCTTTCCAGAGCAACCTGGACCAGGAAGGCATCTGCTGCTTGGCCAAGTGGACCATCAGAGACCATAAATCAAGGACAGTGTTTTATTTGGTGTATACACCATCCTTATCAAGTAGCAATCACTCCAGACTCAGTTGCAAGAGGGGAAGGTTCGAGATGGCATCAGCATGGTTGGCTTTGATTATCCTTCAATAATTATGGCCTGTGTCATCCTGGCTGGTGTGTAAATAAAGATCCTTGGGAAAACCACCATTGAGGTTGTGGCTGGGGAAATATAACCCAACACCCTGGGCAGTGGCAAGTGGGTCAAAACCACCCAGGGCTGCCTCCGCAGGGCCTCCTCCCCCAGTTGGACCATACAGGGCGAATGACACTGGGGGGCAGCCAGGGGGCTGGCCAGGGGAGTCCACAGGGGGATCTGTAGGGGGCTCAGCAGGGGACTCTCTGGAGGACCCTTCAGAGGACCCTATGGACGACCCTTCCAGGGGCTCTCTGGAGGACTCTCCCCTGAAGCTCCTGTAGGACTCCCCTGAGGAGGCTCCCCAGGACCCTCTGGCAGGGGGTGGGGAGGACCATCACCACCCCACCCTGCTTCCCATGGGGGTCCAGCAAGGGGGACAGCACCACCCCAAGAGTCCCACAGCGTTGCTGCCACCACTCGCTCCTCAGGGTGGGGAGCTGGTTGAGGAAGGTGGGGCTGTCAGGGACATCAGGAACAGTGTCCTCGCTCTCCCCCAGCCCTGCTGCCACCACTCAGTCCATGCGGCAGCCACACTCTGCCATGTAGTCTGAGGTCAGGGAGCTCATGAACAAAGGTGGTCAAGCTGGGGCTCTCACAGACATTGAGAACAGTGTGCCATCTGCGTTGTTGAGCCAGCTGAGCATATTGTTGATGCTGTTGTCACCTGCCTGCTGAGGAAGGACCTGGGCAAAGGCATCTGGCCCCTGCTGAGGCAGGTCCACAGGCTTCTCCAAGGCTACTGGGGTGGTCTCCACCACTGAAAAAGCAAAGCCAACCCAAGCCCAGGGTGATGCAAGCCTTCCTCAGCATGGGCCTCCCACAGGCTCTGCCACCCCCCAGACCTCACTGTCCCCACTTATGCTGGTTGGCAGATCCAGCGCCAGCTGGTAGGGGCTGGTACCAGGGATGCTGGATCTCCATTGCCACTGCATCAGTCTTAAAGGCCTCCATCACACTCTGGGCACAGCCAGGCAGGGTGTGGAACACAGGAGGTCCTTGCACCCAGTACTGATCCATCCACAGAGTACCACCAACCACCCTCAAACTGGAAGCACTGGGATCCTCCTAGAGCTAGGCACCTCCAAACTGGAACCACCTCACCTGAAACTGGACATCTTAGCAAAGCTGGGCACCCCCAAACTGGGACCACCATCCCCCTCCAACAGGAACCACTTGGCTCCCCCCAGACTGGGTTGCTTGAACTAGGAGCACTGCGATCCTCCAAGACCTGGACTCTCCCTTCCCTTAATGAAAGCATTGCAACTGTTAACTCTGAACCCTACTGAGGAACTGGTGTAGCCACACTGCTGGCATCCTCAGGCACCCTTAGCACAAACCCCACTCCTCCCACACACCCCAGAAGGGGAAGAGACAAGGGCCACTGTGGTTTAACTCGTTTTATTTAGACTCATACAAGGTAACTGCGGCCCGGCAGGACCGTGCACGTGGGGCTCAGACCCCGTAGAAACGCAGCAGTAAGTCAGGAGTGGGGTGGGACAGGGTGAGCTGCAGCGGGGCAGAGCACCCGGGCTGCTGAAGGAATGGTCAGTTGTTAAGACAAGGGTTTATGAGAGCTGCCCACAGTCGGTAATGGTGATCTTCTTGCTTGTCTTGCCATCTTTGGAGCCACAGCGCTCCATGGCCTCCACCACATTCATCCCCTCCTTGACGCGGCCAAAGACAACATGCTTGCCATCCAACCTGCAAGAGAAGCACCAGTCATGGCTGGCACCTGCCATCCCCATGTGGGGACCTCAGCACCAGCGCGTCACCTTCCCCCAGCTCACCCTCCCGCAGTCCCCGACTCACCAGTCGGTCTTGGCAGTGCAGATGAAGAACTGGGAGCCATTTGTGTTGGGGCCAGCGTTGGCCATGGACAGGATGCCAGGGCCCGTGTGCTTCAGGATGAAGTTCTCATCAGGGAACTTCTCCCCATAGATGGATTTGCCGCCAGTACCGTTGTGGCGTGTGAAGTCACCACCCTGTGAAGAAGCAGCCTTTCAGGTCACAGGTGCAGCAGAATACTCTCAAAACAGGCACAGCAGCTCTGCAGAGGCTGCAGGCAGGAGGCAGATCCACCTTCCCACCCCAAATCTGCCAGCACCCAACTCCAAAAGTGCCAGATCTCCTCACCCACCCACCTCCCTGCTGTGGCAGGAGCACCACACACCTGGCACATGAACCCAGGAATGATTCTGTGGAAACAGGACCCCTTGTAGCCGAATCCCTTCTCACCGGTGCTCAGGGCACGGAAGTTTTCTGCAATGGAAAAGGAAAGCCATGAATGGCTTGTTTTGTCCAGAGTTAAGGAGAAAACACTGGGGTTTGGTTTAGCCGCAGCACAGCCAGTGCTGCTTTACCAACCTGCTGTCTTGGGGACCTTGTCTGCAAACAGCTGCAAAGAGAGAAAGAGGCTGTTAGTCAAACTGGGGTGAGGGCTGGCTGCACCCCCAGCCCGTGGAGATCCCCACCCTTGCTGCTCAGAGCCGAGGGACTCCTGGCCATGCCTGCAGAGAATTCTCCACCTCATACTTTCATCTGAAAACTCTGAACTAACGGACAAGGCATCCAAACGAGTTTAAATACACCACGTGCCTCACCAGCCAGGTGGATGAGCATTCGTTCCGCCGGCTGAGATTGAATTTAAAAAACCAACAACAACAAAAACATAACAAAAAAGCCCCCCCCCCGAGTTTAAATACACCACGTGCCTCACCAGCCAGGTGGATGAGCATTCGTTCCGCCGGCTGAGATTGAATTTAAAAAACCAACAACAACAAAAACATAACAAAAAAGCCCCCCCCCC